TCACGAGGTTCAGAGCAGACCCCCTTGCTTTCCAGACTCCTCCTCAGAGAAGGGTCTAGGGGCGGCTGGATCTACTCTTAGTCTCAGACTTGGTCAATGGTTTATATCTTGAAACAGATGAGGTGTAGGGATTGTGAAAAGGAAAAGGAAAGAGAGAAGAAGACAGAAAGAGAAAAAGGAAGAGAGAAAGATTTCACCGTCCTGGGTCCAGCATCGGTTCAGTCAGCCGAGGGGTCCCGTCAGCCGAGGGGTCCAGTCAGCCAAGGGGTCCAGTCCCGGTGGGCTTGCGCACCCAGGGCTTCAGTTTGTGTCCTTTTATCATCCTTGCCCCTCCTTCGGGCAGGCACCCAAACTCGTCAGGTTAATGAGCAGTTTGTGAGCCCTTGGGCTTGGGGGTCCTTTGGGGAGTAACTTCTCCTTCCCTGCAGACATGGCCATTGTTTGATCTTTGTATCAGAACAGCTTATCAGAACAGGGAGCTGCGCTCCCTCCAGCACGCCCTCCCCCTCCTGTTGCTGGTGTCTGAGCTGAGGGGCTTTTCACCTGGGTTCCTTGCTGTGCAGGGTTTGTCTTTAAGCAGAACTTGCCCCACCACAATGTTTGAGACATTAACTCTTTCAGTCTCTCACAGAGGTGTTGAGCATACTAATGCTTAGTCTGAGAGCTTATTAAATCCTAACCATCTCTTGTTTGTCTTAATAAATATTTTATACCTTGTGTATACATTGCTTGCAGCATCTCTTTATGCACAGTGGAAGTTGCTCAAAATGGCCCAGAAATAACACATCAAGGAAATGATCAGCCAGCCTGTCTCCAAACACATCAGCCAGTCTGTCTCCAAACTGCATTGTGAAAACAGCTGGATGCAGTCTCCTCCTCTTCATTAATGTCTTAGCCAGGGACCCATCACTACAGACAGCAAGAAACTCTCTGAAGTAGCCTTCATTTTACTGTTATTTGGCCTTCTGGCCCTAAAATTAGTGGCTAGAAACCCCTTCATGGAGTAGTGGACATAATGGCATTTATTAAGGTCCCAGTGCGTGTTCCTGTTGCAGCACAGGAACCCACATAGCATGCACGGAGTGCGTGACCCTGCCGCCTTTCGCAGTGGCTGTGATGTTGCCTCCTGCACCTTAGGCTGCGCTTTGCCCCTTCCCTTTCCCATTCATACATTCCCATGGGGGTCCACAGAGCCATGAGATCTGACATAACCATGGCAAAGCAGTTCACAATGACCACTGGGGATATTTCCAGTACTCTGTTTTATCTATTACCAGCTCCACCCACCTTCCCTCTTACTAAAGGTTTGATCTTCACCCCTCTCCTTTTTTTTCTCCAAATACTTGCCTCTTCCTCCGTATGTGTGTGGTTTCCCCCTTGTCTTAAAACTCTTCCTAGCCTGGAAATATTGCTCGTTACTTAAAATCACAGGCCCTTCTTTTAAGCAGGAGTCCAAAAATCTCTGCCTCTCCAACAGAGGAACTGAGTTCATGCATATGTCCTAACTGGTGACATTTACATGGTCAAAATCTTGCCCCTAGGCTTTGCTGTCAGGATCCCAGGTAAATCAAGCTATTAAAAGTTTAAGAGATTGCAGATTAGTATTTAAAGATATGACATTTATATTCAAATTAACACAAAATGACTGCAATTTTGGTATGAAAAAAGCAAGCTATAAAATTGATGTATTAAACTCAGTAATTTTCTCTACATTTTATGTTGAAACTGTATTTTCAGTGATTTATGGTAATATTTAATTTCATCATTCATTATTTTCCAAAAGGTTTTGTATAACCGAAGGACGCATCATTTGCCTGGAAGGCTGAATAGTTGTTAGAAGAAATAATTGCTTACATACCGCTCTATTCACATTTGGAGAAGTGTTCAAATTTCTGAAACAATTCAGAATGCAGAAATGGTTCAGACTGATTTATTTATTTTTCCCCAAAACCTTTAATGCTCTTGGGGCATAATTCCCAAGATGTCCAATGTAAAATACAAACCATTATCCTAATGGTCAAGTCATTCAACTGAAGTAAAATATTAAGACAGATGTGCTGGTTTTGAGCAGCAGCATAACTACCTGTTGAAATAGGAGCCAGACTCCACACCTGCTCCTTCCTGGCCAAGCACTTCTTACAGACCAGACCCCAGGAAGGTTCTCTGTCCTGGCTTGGTCCTTCTGGTCACTACCTCTCGCACAGCAGGCTATGTTGCCCCTTGCTCCTACTCACCTCGTTTGGCAGTCAGAATAGTTATCTAGAAAGTTGCTCACCTCAGGATACAGTGATCATGAAATCCAAGTCATCCTACTATCTGGGTAAATGCTCTATGCACTAGGCAATCCTGACAAACTTCCCAAATTCTGCCTCTTTCCTGTTTTAAAAGGGAAAGATAAGTACTTTCTCCAAATCACAGAGAGCTGAAAATTTGTCACTTTATTTCAGTGTATTGGGTTTGCATGGCAACGTTTGGGTAGCCGGGGGGGCTACAGGGGGGGCTTCTGTGAGAAGCTGCTAGAAGCTTCCCCCATGTCCAATAAAGCCAATGCCAGCTGGCTCCAAGATGGACCCGCCGCTGCCCAAGGCTGAGCCCATCAGTGGTGGTGGTAGTGCCTCTAGGGTAACAGATTTAAGAAGGGGGGGGGAACAGTGCAACTGCAGCTGGAGAGAGTAGTGAGAATATGTGAGAGCCACAACCCTGCAGACCCCCAAGTCAGTGCAGAAGGAGGGGGAGGACGTGCTCCAGGCGCTGGAGCAGAGATTCCCCTGTAGCCTGCGCGGAAGACCACGGTGAGGCAGGCTGTCCCTCTGCAGCCCATGGAGAAGCCCACGCCGGAGCAGGTGGATGCCCTAAGGAGGCTGTGACCTGTGGCCCTGTGGAGAGAGGAGCCCACGCTGGAGCAGGTTTGCTGGCAGGACTTGTGACCTCGTGGGGACCCACGCTGGAGCAGTCTGTGCCTGAAGGACTGCAGCCCGTGGAAGGGACCCACGCTGGAGCAGTTCGTGAAGAACTGCAGCCCATGGGAAAGATTCACATTGGAGAAGTTCATGGAGGACTGTCTCCCATGGGAGGGACCCCATGCTGGAGCAGGGGAAGAGTAAGAAGTCCTCCCCCTGAAGAGGAAGGAGCAGCAGAGACATGTGATGAACTGACCCCAAGCCCCATTCGCCATCCCCCTGCGCTGCTCGGGGGAGGAGGTAGAGAAAATCAGGAGTAAAGTAAAGCCCAGGCAGAAGGGAGGGGTGCGGGGAAGGTGTTTTAAGATTTGGTTTTATTTCTCATTACCCTACTGATTTGACTGGTAATAAATTAAGCTAATTTCCCCAAGTGGAGTCTGTTTTGCCCATGACACTAATTGGTGAGTGATCTCTCCCTGCCCTTATCTCAACCCACAAGCCTTTTGTTCTATTTTCTCCCCGCTGTCCAGCTGAGGAGGGGAGCAATAGACCAGCTTTGGTGGGCACCTGGCATCTGGCCAAGGTCAACCCACCACATTCAGGAAGAATCTCAGATGCACTTCCCCCTGGAGCATTTCTCTCCAGCTGGTTTGTGTCTCCTTCCTTTTTCCTTTCTCAAGTAAGTGATGGTTGGTTGAAGTCCTACTCTGAGGTGCTTCCTCTCTCTGATTTACTACACAGGGAACACATGCAGCAGCAACTTTGGGGTGTGCCAGTTTTGAGTACCCAGGTTTCTCTTCATAGGTAGCCCTGTTTCTCTGTGAAGAAACACAGTCTCAAGAGCAATTTTGGATTGTAGTAGTCAAATTTATTTCCACTGTAGAAGCACACTTGTTTCAGTAATAAAAAAATAACATTTTCTTTGCAGAATAAAAGTAATCCTGTAGTGGTATAAATATATCTACTTGCACAAGAATCCATGTAAGTTACTCAACATGTATTCAGATTTAGTATTCTCATAGTCTTAAGTTTCAAACAGAGTCAGGAAAAGATAGTTACTTGCAAAAAGATGAGAAATATTAAGTCTGGCTCAGTTGGGATTTAAAAATACATGAAATAACAGAAAGCTTGGGTTTTTTATTATTTTAAATGAATACATTGCTTATGAAAAATACTGACAGCCTTCAGGAGTGACCATTTCTGTTTGTCTAATTAAAACATACTATATGGTGTCAGCTATACAAGTCTCTTCTGGCTGCCTCACGGACATGACCTCAGTGCTGGCCAGACAGAACTAACATCAAGAGTGTTAGTGTTCAAGCTCAGTGCTCCTTAGTCTCTGCTCAGCCTCTGTGTCTCCACTCCTGAGACTCCCATCACCAGCTACTCTCTTTCAAGGAACATATCAGGTCTAGCAATTTACTTCAGGGGGTGATCACAGACGACTCAGACAACATGCCTGATCAATCAGTAAGTCCCTGTGCTATACTAAGACAGGTTCTATATTCCATATAGTATTATTAATGACCTGGTGCAACCAACAGTCCAGCTTATAGTAGGTATGGTTGACGTGTAGCTTTATCTATCTAGTATAAATACTTCATGCAAAAGGAGAATACTGTTTTCTGCACTCCCATTCAGTTCAAGCCATAGAAAAATAGTAAACACAACTGCAGTGAATTTAACTTGTACTTTAACTTTTAGATTATTCTTTAACTCTTTTTCCAATTGTGGGGTTGGAAAAAAAAACAAAAAAAGGGAAATTAAGTTTAATGAATTAATCACATCATGACTCTGTGTTACTGTCTTCTGTCTAACTTATACTTATTTACTGCGTGGGCTATCATCAGCGCCATGCCCTCACAACATATGTTGCTTTATTCTGATCATTCCTTACTGTTCGTACAGTGAAAAATGTACAAGGTTCAGCCTTGATTCTTCTTAATGTGTCTATGAGAGGAGGACACCGAACTAATACAACACAATACTGAAGACAAGGGAACATAACACTTAGTTCTGATACACTGAAAAGCAATTTCACACATAAGCTCATTTATGTAGGCACACTGACATATTGAGCACCTTTTTTTTTTTTTTTTCCTTTTTCAGTTTAACATCAACATTCAACTCTGAACAGAATAATGTTAAGCCTCTAGGACAGTTTCAGTATTAAGAAAAGAACTACCTCTATTTTACAAACATCAAAACACTAACGTTGACACTTCAGTCAAGAAGTTCACTGCAAGTGACCCTCTCTCTGAATTCGAAGGCGCTCCTTCTCCACTTGCAAGCGTTCCTTCTCAATCTGCAGCTTCTCTGACTCAAACTTTAGGAACTGCAGCCTCTCTTTCTCTAACTGCAAACGTTCTTTTTCAAGTTTTAACTTCTCAGTTTCCAGATCTAGAGGCTGCATGATGGGTTTTTCTGTTTGGGTGAGGTCATTTTCCAGGGCAGGTTTTTCAGCATGCAGAGTCTCTAGCCTGAGTTTCTCCCATTCAATCTGAAGTCGCTCCTTCTCAATCTGAAGTCTCTCACGCTCCAAGTCAACATGCCGCAACCGTTCTTTTTCAATTTGCAGGCGCTCTTTCTCCACTTGCAACCTTTCAGCTTCAATGTCTAGTCGCTGCTTCTCCAGCTCCACCTTCTGCTTCTCCAGATTTATAAGCAAGTGAGAATCTTCATAGGCTAGCCTAGCTTGAGCAGAGCTTAGATTTCCAAACTCTTCAATGTGGGGGAAGTCTGGTAGGTCATTTTCTTTTTTCGAATCTGGCAAAACTGATGACAAAATTTCTTCTTCTTCCTCAATAGGAAACTGCAGAGAGGAATGCAATAGACAAGAATTACATACCAGCCTATGCCAGAGCAAATTTGTTACACACAACTTGACTGAAAAGAACATACTGGGTTTTTTTATCTTAAAAGCTACTCAGAACTGTTTAACTCACATGCTGTGAAATACCCATATTAGATCAAAAGACTGTTTTCTACCATCACGCAGGTAGAGAAACACGCTTTATCTGCAAGTTAATACCTGGGAATGAAAAATGCAAAAATCAGCTTGTCAGTGGACATGGAAGAACATACAGAAAATACTGCACGATAGGTATTATAGAGCATTCAGAACCACTGATAGAAAACTGGATCTAAAAAAGCATGTATCATTCTCACTTTTCATATAGCTGAGTGACATTTATGTAAGCCACTAGGAATTTGTTGTGACTAATTATTTATCAGAGCAGCTGGATCCATAGGCTATGTGGTATGTAAGCTAACCTAGCCTTCACTAACTTGAGGATTCCATTTCTAAAAAACATTTAACACTGACATGCTCCTAACCCTTCAAACTGTATTAAGTGGGTCAATAAAGAGGACTTGTTTAACCATTTTGTATTACCACATTTGCTGTAAAGCTATTTACGACACAGATGACTAGGTGGTTAGGACCATTGCTCTTGGTGGACTGTCACAACTTGTGCAGAATTATAGCCCTTATGTGCTACCAATTCATAGTACACAAGGTATAATTGTCTCCCACAAAGTATGCTACAAAAGAAAGGCAAACTGAGGAAGATATCGGTTCTGAAAATCTTAAGACAATGAGAGCCACTGACGGTCCTCTAGCATTGAAGCAGACGCTGTTCTTTGGCAGTTGTCAGACAGTAGTCTCGCTACCATTTAACAGCTTATGCTGATTTTTTGCCAGCACACATCTCAACTGAGCTAAGACAGGAGTTACTTCATCCCCCTTCCCCCCCCCAAAAAACCCAAACCAAACCTGTTTTAAGTACCCCTTTTTTTAAATGAGAACTATATATTTGTACAGGCACAACAAAACTATCCAAACATTAACTTCACTCCAGCTGGCTGCCTACCCCAGGACAGTCACGGTACTACTAGGAGTAACAACCCATCTACAGGATCCACAGTTGCTTGTCAATTCACACTAAAATTCTGACAGAGGAATGGATGACTGACTTATTGAAGTAACATGTTCACCTCCTGTGGGTTCATTTTAAGAAATGCAAACAGTATTCTATTTCTTTCTGTATTCTATTTCTTTCTGTACCTGTAGGTACCATATACTTTCATTTGTTAAAGAGGTGCATGTCTCTTCTCCGTTCATCCATCCAGACAGCCTAAGTATTAAAATAATCAGTTTCCTTTAACAGTGTATTTTCTATTCTACTGACTGAACTAATTTTTATCTATGGCACATGCAAGTGGAAAATATATGTGCAAATACATATTCAAAGTTGAGGGATATCACTTTAATAATCAACATCCAAGACCTTCCACATAATTGCAAGTTGCTAGATTTGAATACCATCTCTCTGAAACATACTTGTTTCTACAGTTTCTTTAATACACACATGCAGAAAAAACAGAAACAGATGCTATGAAGAAACACAGCAAAAAGCCTTATGCTGAAATGAAATGAAGGCCATATTGCATATAGCTAATGTATGTCAGTCACTCACTTCAAAATTCTGCGGATCCTCCTCTTCCTCTTCTACTTTGATTTCTGTTAAAGATCCACCGGCTTCTCTGAAGTCAGTGATATTTTGCCATTCAAAACTAGATTCAATTGCAAATCCCATTTTCTCATCCATGTCTTCATTGAGAGAGTCATCTAAATTGGATGAAGGAAGGTGAAACCCAGCACCTACTACTTTGATGTTTGCATTCAGACGTTTTCTCTTCATGAGTGCTCTCCAGTCAAGGTATCGCCTTTTCACTTCTGTCCCTGTTCTTTGCTCTCCTTCACCTACAGCATTTACACACTCTGCTATTTCCTCCCAAGCTTTCCGTTTCATCTCATTAATTGTTGTATTAAGTTGCTTTGAAAAGAGTACTTCTCTCCTTTTTCTGATTTCTTTAAGGAGAGTTTGAGTTTCCTGAACACTAAAATTGCTTTTTCTTTTTCTTTTTAATTGTTTCATTTTTTCCAGCTTTAACCTAATAATTTTACCACAGTAGACTACAGAGATGATCTGACACTAATCAGTTATTAATACAAATAAAATTTAAAAGCCAATGAAAGCAGAGCTCTGTTCTCATGAAGTGAATTTTCTCTTCACTTTGTAGTATTTTCCTATTTGTCAGGCTTCCTAAGAGAAAAAGAGCAAACAACATAAATCTCCAAGGTATACAGTGTATATTCTCATTTAACGAACTTGACTCCTAAGTCATCATTTAAGGAATGCATATTTTGAACTGATTGTTCATTCAATAGAAGAAAACCATTTTGTTAAACTCTGAATATGAAGTACCTAGCTATAGATACCGTCTCTAATCTCGTATGAATTATAAATCCATTAATATATCCATGTCATGAACCGTTAAGGTTGAGTTGATATTTCCATTACTAAAATACAGCTATTTTCCTTCAACTCTTAGAGTTTTGCCAGCGGGGTTTTGCTTAAAGCTGAAATTTGACATACACATTTCAGTTTGAATGCTAAATTATTTCCAAAAGCAGCTAAAATTGTTATATCATTACTTCAAAAACATGAAATGTTTAGGTGACTGAAATTTCTGAGACACATTTTAAATGAGACACCATTTCCATAAAAAAAAAAAAAGTAGATTAATATGAAAAGTTGAAGTTTAGAGGCTATTCTGACTTATCTTAATCACAAAAAATGAACCGGAGCAATTCTGCTGAGTGTCAGAAAATAACTACTAGTTCACCCACATGTCATGCATTAGAGATGTTTTAATGGGAAACAGATTTAGGAATAATAAGTCACTACATGCCCACAGTAGCACCTCCTCTATCCTCACACTGCAAAACACCTCATGTCAGATGTGATGGCAGGTTGAAAGTTGAATCCAGTCCTCTACCCTCAGCAATTGCTGGTCCTGCGCCTGATGCTGAAGAGAAAGCTAAACCCCATAATACACCTGACAGATTGTGCACAACTCTCTACAGAAAGTGGAGAGTTTGAGTGGGAAAAACAGGAAACTATTAATGCAGTGATGAATATATCATAGACCATATTACAAAAACCCCAAAACAACCTGAAAGCAGAGACTGAGAACAAAAATGGTTCTTGGTCACAGACTGCTTGGTAATGGTCCAACTTTGGATTTATTTTGAGCTTTCTTTTGTACCATGTTACCTACCACTTTAGATAGGTTTAAAAAGCTTTAACCAAGTAGGCCAACAATTCACCATACAGTACTTACAGTTTCAAGCTGTTAGGTTTGTTCACTATTAATCTACTTTAGACTTTTTGTCCACCTGAAGCAAACGGCTTGCAGATTATAATCCGATTGCTACTCACTAATGGACTTAATCCTTAAATAACTCCCCTCAGCTATACAGGATTCTTAAATTACTAAGTATTTTTTTTCTCCTGTTATTCTCCTGAACTTGGTTAAAACATACACATCAGCACATTACACAAAACCCCTCCATTTGGGGGATAATGCACACAATAGTCTCGACATCATTCTTCATCTCCTATGTGCTACTGACTGTAGATAAGTGGTTCACCTGCGAAGTCTTCTGTATCAAGCAATTCTTTCATACCCAACATGTAAGCATGCTGGCATCTAATATTTTTTAAAATGCTGCATTTAGGAAACTGGTTTACTACTTTTCCTCATTAAAATAATTCTCCTCACTGTGAATCCATTTACTTCTGATGGTTACTAGCTAGCAAATATGCAAAACCGAGTCCCAAGAAGAAATCAACTGCATAAAGCATGAGTGTGTTATCAGCATGGACTACTCTACAGTGCTCCCATGCAGTTACCCAGCGCTTTTGACACCTCAGACTGAAGTCTGCAGACTGGAAGCTGCATGTTGCTGTTTAAGATGTGTGAAACTTCCTGCACTTCTGAGAATAAAATACAAATTGGTTTTGAGAAAAGGGAATTATTTAAAAAAAAAAACGACAACCCCTACTGTTTTAATGTAGACCCTTGACATCACCAGTACTAAAAAAAAAAATATGGTGCAGTTTAAAAAACATCAGATTTATACCATAAACCAGCACTGTATCTGCTAGATTTACATAAAATTTTTCTGAGACCTTTTATCTGACCTTTACTATTAAGTACTATTAAGTGTCTAACCTTTACTATTACAAGTTTACCACAAAAAGATAGTTGGGCTTTCAAGGTAGCAGCATCCTATTTACTTGTCTGGCAGTAAATCAATTTATTTGGTACGTGCTGTGCTTTTCAAATGCAAATTAGAGCACTAGTGCTTTTCTATTATTATGGCAACTGAATTTCTTGACCTATGTATCAAATTCTAAGTTTATATTGTGTAAGATTTTTTTTTCACTTTTAAAAAGTTACTGAGTAGGTAAATTCTTCAGAAAAGTTACCTGCACACGGAATGAATTAAGAGCACTTTTAGAAGCTTCACTGTTAGTAAGGCAATTATTCTGGATTGATAAATATATAGATTAAGCTGTGATTCCTGGTTACTGGGGAATGACCAAGTGCTCATATCTTCACGCTGGCTTTAGAAACACACACATTTGCACTTACCTGTTTTCAGGGTGGGGAGTGTGTGTGAAAGATTCAGAGGTATCCACTTTGAGTTGGTTTTCCAGGTAAAAAGAACTACACAGAGTTCTTACATACAATGTAAGTTCCACAAGAATTATAGTATTTCTGACTTGCCACTTCCAAGACACTGAACCTCTGTTTATAAGGTCACATGTATTTTTACTGAAAACAGTAGAATTTCACATTTGATTTTAAGCATGTACTTAAGAGAACATTCAAGTAGTTTGCTAACTATGGAAAAATGGGTCAGACTTTCCAAAGTACTTGCCAGTCAGATATGTCAAACTCTTGAAAGTACTAGCAGATACTTAATTGTCTCTTAAGGTACTTTGATATCAGACTTTTGCTGAATCACAGATGTTTTAACCTCAAGATATACACTGGCTAAGTCCTTTACTTAGCCCCAGCTGGGATGAACAAGGTTCTGGTCACTCCCCAATAACAGGGAACCATAGGATTTTAGAGACTCATATGGTATCTATATTCACCCTGGCCCTCCCTAAATTTCTCAGTGTTAGCACAGCAGGATACAGTGGGCACAATCACAGGAAAACAAAAAAAAATTGGGTTTCCAAATAAAATTTTCATTAACAGTATTTTCTAAATATAATTCTACATGAATGTGGAAGACACAGCCAGCCAAGCTTTGACCTTAGCTCCAGACAAGGTTGAGAGTTAAAACACACAAATGTCAGGTTACCCTGTGGGTCAGTCTCACTGCTCCTTGTGCAGGCGTTGTGCATCACCTGTCTGATCTCCCCAGCCACTCTTTGTGAGGTGCCTAATCTTGGTTTTGGATTTTACGCCATAAGCCAAGCACATAACCTTTAAGAATTATACTAACTTGGAAACTACTGGCATCCAATTCTTTTATTATGTAAGTTTTCTTTTAGACTTCCACCCCCCCCCGCCCCCCAAACATGTCTGATACAAGCCCCTGAATTTTCCAGTAAAACAGCAGCAAAGCTATCTATTTTAAAACTCATGGCTACTAACTTCCAAACGGTAAGGACATCTTATCTTCTCTAACTCTTTCCTTTTTGAAAGAACTGGCTCATTAAAGACAATTCCTTTCTTATTGATATAAATGAATGTTAATGAATTGTCTTAACAATGTTATGTTGATTTCCAGTGTTAGATCAACTCCACTGTGGGACTCTTTACCCTTCTGATATATTAACTGAAAAGCATTATTTCTAACTAGAGCTGAGGTTTGAGATATTCTGTTTTCTGACATTGCTAGATGGTCTCCAGGATATTACTCTTTAATGCAGAAAAATGAACTGTTACTTGCTCAGAGTATGTAAGGGACAGAAATGGTAATAAGCTAGGATTTGTATGTATTCTAGATAGGGTCTTTTTTTCCTGTAACTATCACCATTTTGAAAAGCATGATCTACAAAAACATGACAGAGCACGTTTAAGTTTTGTTTTGATATGAAGTCTAAAACATGAAATGCGTACATTTTGAAAAAAAACCCAGCAGACAGTCATTACAGTTTTTCCAAAATTGGAACTGTAACTGCTCTACATTTATTGTCTTGGCAGAGGATTCCACAGCAAATAACATCCACTGAGTGCACCAGCTGGGAAGATGGGCAGTCCACTCAGAATATGTGGAAATAAGAGCAGAGGTGAAAAAAAATCTTTTGGTCAGAGCAAGCCACTTACACCACCATAAAGGTAAGAGAAGACATCTGCAAGAAGAAAATTCCTTCTCAACTATACGACCAAAAGTACTTCTAGTACGTGAGCAAAGACATCAGATTCCTGACAAAGAATAGCTACAGTCTGGTCAAGTGACAGAGAAATCCCTGGGAAATAACAGCATGCAAACAGCCCATTACGTGACCAGCCATGCACCCATCGTACGGCATGGTGCTAGCTGCAAATGCAAAATGCATATTTGTACAGTTTGGGTAGAAACGCAAAGTGCTGGCTAGGAAAAAAGAAACAATTCTGCTCATATGATAACAGAAAGATTTCAAGGGTCCTGCAGGAAAGATGGCAACATGGAGCTATGAATTTGATGCAGCCCTGTCAGGCCAGAAGCAACCTACGGTCAAGAAGTTCCTAATCACTGGACCGAAGAAACACAAACTATTTGTCAGGGCTGAAACAAAACAAGTATTGCAAACCAAAACTGAAGACTTCACGAACACACAACATACACATGCACTGATTAACTTTGATGTACTTAATGACAAGGGGCATTCACATTCTGCCTCTATGTCTTTGTATCTCCCTTGCTCACCTTATAGCATAACCACATGCTGGACCAACAAAAACCCAATCAACCAACCAAAAAAAAACCCCCACAAAAAAAAAGCAAGCAAGCAAGCAAGCAAACAAAAAAGCCGTGCATTCACCAGGATTGAAGGATTGTTGCTAGCAAACTTGAATTGTTCTCTAGAAAAATCATCACGAAGAAAAAACCACTTTAAATCAGGAGGACCTGCTACCTATATATTTTTTTTAAACAAAACATGGAAGTCTGAGTATCTTTGCAGGACAGTAAAGCCTAGGGCCTTCTGGAAAACTTTGTACGTGATTCATAATGGATGGTTACCTTGGCTTGGAACAACTTATGCTTTTGTACTAAGGGAGGCCTTAGCACAGGAGGATCTGGGTGCTGGTGAACACGTCACCGAACGGGACAGTCCTCCCGGCAGGGAGCCTGCGGTCTGAGCACACGGGAAGGCAAGCGCTAAAGGGAACCAACACCATCTCCAAGGACGATTTAACGAAGCAGCGAGGAGGCACCGAGGATGGAAAGCAGCTGCGCGTTCAGGCAGCTGAACCCCCAAACTCATCAGTCGGAAGTTCCCCGTCCCCTGAAACGGCAACGGGAGAAAACCTCCCCTCCGCGCAGGGCGCGCGTCTTGGAGGGATGAAGGCAGGCGCGGCCGCCAGCTCCGAGGCGGCCCAGCGCACCAGCGACCTCGCCC